TCTTTTGCATCATTATTTATTGATCGATGTTAATAGTTGTAGAGACGAATATATGTAGAATCAGTTGCTGGACAGGCTGCACAAATATAGTCATAGTATGAGACGATCGGATCAGTTTAGAACATTCTGACATCAAAAAATACTTTAAAAATGTGTAAATGTGATGTCGCTTCGTTGTTAGCAAACCAAATCAAAGGTACGGAAAGTAAAAAACACAAAGTGAATCAGAATAGCAAGAGGCAATAAAAAAAAATTTACGTGATCTGACCTCGTTTTGGCAACTTGGTCGTGTTGTCAGAGGGACTGTTGAGCGTACCTTGTCAAAAGTCCTCTATCAGTGAGTATCATAATTATCAATGTCGGACCAGTGACTTGGTAAATTCCCAGATATTTCGCTGTCATCTTATCCGACATCGTCAATGAATCTTGTTATTCTAAGCACCAAACTACAAAGCGTACAAGACAAATGAAGTCAATCCCTTGACCAGCCCCCTGCTGAACGTTTATGCTATCATTGCTCTTTATGTCCCGGCCTCTATACTGTATCCTCTTAACTTATTCCTACTCGATCAAAACTTCTAACTTGTTTATATTCCACTCCTCAATAAGGTGCTCTTTTTGTCGAGTTTAATATGGCATCATCAAACTGCCGTTTATTTTTTCCCCTTTCCTCTCGATTTGCTGATCTGAATTCGGACAACTATTAGGAAATTCTTCATGGGGCCATAAATTCATTACTTATCTATAAAAATGAACTGATTTTAGTCGGCTCAAGGTCAAGTATACATTTCACTTGGCGTGCTGTTTTTCCCAATTTTAGTAGCAGATACACTGCCGCCCCACCGAGCAAGGCACATAATCTCTGATTCTCATACTTACCGATATCAGGCATTGTCTCCACACTTCATTTTCCTGATTAACCCAGAGTACCAAGAGAAAACTGTTCGCTTTTATCTCTGAGCATCCGTTGTACCTCAAATGGAATTATAATCAATTTGGCCATAATGTCGAATTTCTGTGACGGTTGTGAGTATCCGTCTTCATAGTCCAATGCCAGGCCCAAAAGTTTTAGTTTCTTTGAACAGGAGGCAGACACTGGAAACGTCTTCTCTTGAATTCTTAAGTTTATTTATCCTCCTCTTATTGAGATTCCCTTTCCTCTGGTTAACGATAGGTCCTAGATCCAAGCGTCTTCTTTTTGCTGGTCTTGCCATATTCTTGTTTTCTCCGAGTTTGCTTAAGCAATAGGCGAAGTCCTCACTAACTCTGTCTTCTTCAAATCGCCTGTTCATTCAGTTTCCTTTGGAAATAATCTAAATGACCTCCATATTCTTCTTTCTCATTGTGCTTTCACGGTACAATGCCCTTCTTTCGAGTGCCTTCCAAATAATCTCGTGTCCAGTCTGTACGATGTATTCAGCAATTTCAAATATATCAGTATCTATTTTCATATAAAATCTTTAATGTTCCTTGATTAGTATTATAATTTTTATCCCTGTTTCGCAATCTAGTAATGGTTGCAGACCTCACATGTGATGCAATTCGTATACCCATTCCTGGTTCGTGGGTAAACTTGCTGTTGTTTTTCTCCTTCATGGTCACCTGAATATTCCATTTCCTTGATATAGAAATTATCATAAGAATTAGAGCAAGGCGTTTTTGGACAAGGTGTATCTAACCAGGTCGCCTTAAAAACACAACCAATTTGAGAAAATGGGATGGAACAATTTTCATACATCAAAAGGAAACTGATCCAAATAGAGGCCACCACATCTTGGTTTTCACATTTTAAAAAAAGTTTAGTCTACTACATTAATCATGTCTAATAGGAATTTGTTGATAGAAAACAAAGAGTTAGTAAGCTTACTGAGAAGGTATGACTCCTTAAAGTTGATCGTCCGGGAGGTAAAAAGAGAATTATGATATTCATGTCTAAGAAGAATA